GCTGGAGGGGGACCTGCCCGGTGGGTGCCCCCCGGGAGGTGCCGCGTGCCCACCGTGCCGTGTTGTGCATCCTATGGGGTAACATTTCCTCACCCCCGCCTTCCCCAGGTCGCATGTGCAACATCAACATCGACGAGTGCTCCAGCAACCCCTGCCACAACGGGGGCACGTGCAAGGACGGCATCAACGGCTTCACCTGCCTCTGCCCGGAGGGCTTCCATGACCCCAAGTGCCTGTCCGAAGTGAACGAGTGCAACAGCAACCCCTGCATCCACGGGAAATGCCACGACGGGCTGAACGGGTAGGCTGGAAGGGCATGGGGGCTGCTGGGGGGCTGCTGGGACCAAAGGGCCACCGAGCAAAGTCAAGGGTAGAGGCAGGGCGAGCAGCTGCCCCCCGTGCTGGAGCTCGTCCGTGCTCTGTGCCAGTGGTGAGGGATGTTTCCCTGCAGGGACACGATTGTGAGCTGGGGTTTGCTGGGGAAATGGTGGCTGGTGTAGCCAGGAGGGTCAGGTCGGACCAGATTCTGTGCTTTATGCCCCAATTTTCCCCCAAAGCTACAGGTGTGACTGCGACCCAGGCTGGAGTGGGACAAACTGCGACATTAACAATAACGAGTGTGAATCCAATCCCTGCATGAATGGTGGCACTTGCAAGGACATGACCAGTGGCTACATCTGCACCTGCAGGGAGGGCTTCAGCGGTAAGGGTGCCACCAGGGATGCTGCCCCGTCCCCCCACGCTGGGGCCTGGCCGGGAGCTGTGGGTGGGCGCCCCGTGACGCCGGATGAGCTGGAGGCTTCTCTGTGGGCATGGTGGAGCCCTCAGGTCTGGTTGGGAGCTGTGGCAGTGCCGCCAGCCTGGGGACCTTCCGCAGAGTTTGGGCGCCCGTGGCTGGAGCTGAGAGCAGGAGGCTCATCCAGGGCGATGGGTGGGCCATTGCCATTGTCATCACGTCCCCACTGTACCCCCAGCTCCCTCCCACCAGCACACCTCCGTCACAGCCGCTTTTACCTATTTTTTTTTAATGCAGGACCCAACTGCCAAACCAATATCAATGAGTGTGCTTCCAACCCCTGCCTGAACCAAGGCACGTGCATCGACGATGTCGCTGGCTACACCTGCAACTGTCTCCTGCCCTATACAGGTGAGGGGGAGCGCCCCGTGCGCCCCAGGCCCTCACCGGGGCTCTGCGGGGCTGCTGCTTCGCCTGTGACGGCAAATCGGTCCCTCCGCACGTGCAGTGAGCCAGCGCCGAGGCTTCACTTGTGCTGCCCTGCCGTGGCGCTGGCCGTGCCTCCACCTCCCCGTGCCGCCGCACAGCTGGAGGAAATTTGGAGGAGCTTTGGGAAGCGGCCAGCCAGAACTTCCTCCCTCCTCCTCCTCCTGGAGGGCATGGAGGCGGTGGCTCGGTTGCAGGCTGCCCCCGGGGCAGCAGCACCAGGCGACCGTCCCGCTCACACCCCACCGCCCTGTGGGGTCGGCGCTGCCGGTGGCCCCTTTCTCCTGCCATGATGCGCGCGCTGGA